GGCGGGGCCCGCTCGGGCCCCGGGCCCCCGTGCCTCTCACCCCCTGTCCCCATTGTGATCGCATCCCTGGCCTCGGAGCCCCCCCGCGCCGGGGTCTCCAGCTGGAAGGGCTCTGTCTGGTGCCGCCGGCCTGGGGCTGGCGAGCTCGGTTCGGAGCTATGACCTTGGGGCAAATAGGGATACGGTCCTTGAGGCTCGCGGGAGAGCCACGCGCTGAGAGCCACGCGCCCTCTGCTGGGCGGCCGTGAATTAAAGCGACCGGCGCCGCTGTCGCCTCGCCCGCAGCCCACTCGCCGGGCGAGCAGGGGGGGATTGCGTGTCCTCCTAGGCTGGCGGGGCCTCACATGAAGTGCCCATCTTCCCCTTCTACCTTCCTACTTCTCTGGAAAAAATTAACTTGGGGGGGGAGACTTCCTAGTGGGATACACATTGATAACCAAAACTTCTTAAGAAAATCATGTTTCTCAGAAGAATCTAGTAAAAGAAAGATAATTTCTTGTAAGAGGTGAGAACCTTCCCTGGCTGACAAAGAAAATTTGGCATCTGGCCTACCTGGGAAGTCATTCAAAATAACTTAATAGAAAGAACATTTCTGAGGCCAAACCACATTATAACTTTCATGGGTCCTAAGGCATTTTGCCTTGGTGGGTCTCTTGTTCATAAACATGCACACACTTATGACTACATCGATATAAAGATTAATATCTTAATGTTATATATTTAAGCATCTTCTTTGGCCCAAAGCTTCATTTTTGTTGTTGTTGTTCTTATTTTAAAATAAAACACTATCCTAGTCACCTAAAAATATTGTGGACCCGAGACACTCTGCTTACTGTGCCTCGTGGATAAGTCAGGCTGTCTTGGTAGAGACAGAATTCATTTTCCACAAGGAAATTTGCCACAAATAATCGGGGGCTGGGAGGGGGAGGTCTGTTCTGTGGTTTCTGTGATCGTTGAGGTATAGTATTGGACTTAAAATTGGGGAAGCAGGATATAGTTTCGTGTGTTTGTATTAGTCTTGATATCACATTACTTAAAATTTATAAATAAAAGGGTAAATTATAATATTATTGTACATCTTTACAGTGCTGACTTAAAAATCATCCTTTGCTGTTTATTTCAGTGAATTTCACACAGATATAATTCATGTTAAGGTTTACTTGCTCTTGTTCTAAGACTCTAGAAAATTGTGTACCTCCACTTATGTGGGTTTTTGGTTGATGTCACCAGGAATTCTTAGGGAAAAGAGCAACAATGAACTTTTTAGAATTCCACAATCATGACAAAATGTTAACACATCACTAAGAAGAAACTTTTATTTGTGCCCCTGCGGGTGCATTTTTTTCCTTGGGTCTCAGAGAAATAATTTGGATTTTTTCCATTATTTTAGAGTATTTTCTTAATGTACTTGCTGCAAGACACTTCACTTGGCCTTGACATTGATAAATGTTGAGAATTGAGTACAAAGTCTATGAATGTAGAGTGGACTAAAGATTCTGTTAGGGTCGCTGGGCTATTCAACCTATGAGAATCCTTGTCTATCATATTCTGTGAAGCTGGGTTGTTGCTTTAACATGGACAGAATAAGAGCATATTTTAATTATTAAATAACTCTACAACACGCAACACCGCCAAACTGCAGTTCACCAAATGGATTCTTGTTATGGGGGATTTTCCTTTATATCTCTCATTTCTAGGAAATGCATGAATTCCCAGTGGGAGCAGGCCCTTCACAGAGCTGCTGTTGGGAAGGGTGTCACATGTTCACCACAGGACAGAAAGTGGTTCGCCTTCAGATACTCAGGAGAGATGCAAATGCTTTTAGCAACTTTTTTGTTTTTGGTATTACAGTGGTTGTCTTAGCTTTTTTTTCTGACCATTTTTTAAATAATGAAGTTGACTTTGTGCCTTTGTGTAGATCAAGCACACAGCTGTACTTTACTGAGGGTATTCTTAGCAGGTTGTCATTATGTACTGGATGCAAGATAACTCTAACACTGGATATTTGAAAATACAATAGTAATTATTTTATTTTGTACCTGTGTTTCTATTAGAAGGAAAGGGTGTTCATTCAAGAGTAATCCTAAATATGGCCAAACCTGTAGAGGTGCACACCTGCATTCCCAGATACCAGAGGCAGGAGGATCACTTGAGCCCAGGAGTTTTAGGCTGCAGTGAGCTATGATGGTGTCATTGCACTCCCAGCATGGGTGACCGAATGAGAATCTGTCTCAAAAAAAAGACAACTAATTCTAAATAAATAAACTGTCAGTACCTAAAGAAAGGGAATACCTGAAAAATGACCGACAATACATCAGAAAAATAGTTTAAAAAATCTTGAAGTCTGTGTTCCAATTATTATAATGAGAAAGCACCTAACATATCAATCTTGGTGAAAATATAGAATAAAATGGAAAAACATGAGCTTTCTCTCCCCAAATATAAAGAGACTGTTAATATAATATTGTTCATATATTTTACAAAGCGAGATATACATGATTTTTAAAATATTTAACTAAAAAGCTAATAAAAAGCCAGATTGTCTCTTATTTGTTACGATTATAGTGTTAAAGCAAATATCTATAAAGGACTAGAGCCACTCTCTACTTGGGGATCACATAGCTCTTTGTAAACACATTCTTCTGTCCTAGTCTTTGTGATATGGCATGCTAATCAGACACTGTCTTGTACCCATCAGGTTGTAACCCACCACACCAATACATTGAGCGCTGCTCATTTGTAAAATAGGAATAAGGACACCCAATTCAGCGTTATTGTAAGAATTCAGCTAGTGAATACATAAAAATCAACTGCTGCAGGTAGGCACTCAGTAAATGCTGGCTACTCTGTTCTTTCTAGACAGTGCTAAACAGTTAGAATGTCATGTCATGAATGCAAAGTAAACACACCTGGGCAACAAGTTTCAAAAGGGAGCAATTTAAGAGAAGTGAGCCTCTAGCAAGAAGTGTTTGAGAAGTGTTTGAATCATGGAAACATTCACTTGCATATTCTATTTCTCTTATTAAACTGAGCCCCTCAAGGTTGGGAACTGTATTGTATTATTGACCTCTTTAACCTAGGCATCTAGCAACTTTAACCTAGCTGGAGTCCCAGAACATGTAATAGCTAGTCACAAAATATTCTTTGGAACTATGAAGTTTTAATCATCCAAATGGAGGCAGCAACAGTTTCATTTTACAGAAGCCAGTCTGCTAACAAATAATATTGTGCTGAAATTAGGCTGTTTTTGAATCTGGGTTAATTCACTGGCTCTGTGACCTTGGAACAATTGCTTGATCTTGATAAGATTCAGCTATCTCATCTACAAAACTAGGATAATAACATCTGCCTCACAGATTTGAAGAGGACTAAATGATATAATGTGTATAC